ATATGACATACTTCTACATGATTGAATTGTTTCTCTTCTATAGAAACCCAAACGGAATGGGTGGTAGTAGTTATTTTTTAATTAAATTATATATAAATACATGTTAAAAATGAGAAATTTTCATAAAAAATTAAAAATAACATGCTTTCATTCAATTAATGTGATTATTCAACTTTTATTTTATTAAGTATATATACGGTTATTATTATTATAAAATTAAAAGTATTATAATTACTAATTATTCGCTTTTTCCAACTTTTATAGATCAACTAATTTTAAATTTGAGTTATTTAAATTTAATTGTTTATTTTTTACTTTAAAATGTTATTTAATGTATTTATTTTATTTTAAATTTATTTTTAATTACAATATATATTAAATAATAAAGATTATTTAAATATGAATTAATATAAAATTTTATCAATTACTTCCTCCATTTTAGAATAATAATTTTTTTTATTAAAAATTTATTCCAAAATAAAAGTCATTTTTTCTATTTTAAGAAAGACAAATATTTTTTTTCTACTTTAACCTTATGGTTATTTTTTAATTTTAATTATTTAATTTCTAATTAAAATGATTATTTATTTATATTTATTTTTTAAAAATAAAATAAATAAATAATTATTTTAAATTTTTTAATTAAAAAATAAAATAAAAAATAGTTATTATTTTAAAAAAATTAAAATAATTATTATATTTCTATTTTATTAAAAAAAAATCGAAATCTAATAAAATTAAATGAGGCAGTACTGTAAATAGGTACAAGTGGAGGCAAACCACGCGCGGCACAAATTTAGGTTCCAGTTTAAAAATAAAAACAGCGGAATCAAAATGGGAATATCCTTTCACCGAATTGAACTTATCCTTACAATTGATCCAAATCTTTACGCGTATTCCATCATTTTTTCTCGAGAATTGGCATATTCCATCCTGCAAATGAATTAAACCTTGTTTATGTGAGATGATGGGATAAACAATACTCATTTTGTATTAAAATTATTGTTATTTATTTTATTTTAACTTTGTTTTAAATTAATTGCGATTTTGTTTTATTTTTCAAGATAAATAATTTTTTTTAAGTAAACAATATTTTCAAGATAGACAATTTTTTTTTATACTTTAACTTTATTTTTAATTATTCACGTAATTAATTATCTAATAACAAAAAGTCTCTTTTTATCTTTTATTTTTTTAAAAAAAATAATATAGATAAATACAAATATTATTTCTAAATTTCTAATTAAAAAATTTTTTAAATAACAATTGTTTTGAAAAAGAAAAAATAGGAGATAACTTCCTTTCTTATCATAGGATTTGATTTTAAAATAGCCTATGACTTTAAAACTTTTAATATGGAGACTTAAACTCTTATTGCATGTTTAGATTAAGGGAAATTAAAGAAGAGGGGACGAAAAATATTTTCTATATATATATATATTAACTTGTTAACTTATCTAAATAAGAGGAATGGAGGAAATGGAGGGACACAGTTTCCCTCCCCTCCCCTTCCCTCCATTCTCCTCAATTTAAATATTTAGTTAGCCACCATGATATTTCATAAGTTATATTCCTAATGTTTCAAAATAACTTCTTTTCTTTT